ATATTGGAATAGCTGTTGTTCCAGTGCCCACTCATATACCTGCTAGCTTTTGATCCTGGCTCTGACTTAACCTTACAACCACATTCCTTCTGGGAGACTACACTGCAGCATGGCATCTGGAAGGAGAGCACAGATTCAGAGCCAGAGGGAGCCAGGATCCATGCCTGGCTCTGCTTTACTAGCTGTGTGACCTTGGGTAGGTCATTTCACTTGTGAGTCTTAGTCTGTGATATCTGTGAAATGGGGTCATATATATCAAGAAGGATTGTGAGGATTGGAAACTGCAAATAACATGCTTAGTTCATGTCTGAGACATGGAAGAGGCAAAATAAATGGTAACTGTTAATTAATTTCTTTCCAGGGTGAGAATCCCATCTGTGGCCTCTTTGATGGAAGGGAGCTAGCCTAGCACCTGCTTGCACAGCCCCAGGGAAGGGGAGCTCACCCCCCTAGGGGTGGCTCTGCCTGGAAAATCCCCCTCCTGAGATGCAGCTGAGACCTGTCCCAGTTGTCTCTGGGCCATAGTGTATTTTGCTCTGCAGCATTTCCCCTAAAGAATCTCAAGAGATCTTACTGGTAACACAGTGCTTGCCCGCAGTGCAGGAGGAAGGCTCTGGAAGTTCCCAGCCTTGTTCAAAGGGGTACATTTTAAGTCCGGCATACATAAATCACAGAAATCCCTTCCCCTGTCCCATGGAATATATGGATTGTATCCTCCTGAATCTACTTTTTTCCTGGGTGAACTCTCCCAGTTCCTTTGAACATTCCTCATAGAGGAAAATTTCTCATGGGAGAACTGGGTTCTGTCCCCAAATCTATCACTTTAGGTGAGTCACTTGTCTTCACTGAGCCTCCAGTTCTTCATCTATAAAAATGAAGAAAATAATACCATCTCATAGGGTTATAGTGAAGATTAGTTTGGAAAAATAACATGAAGTTTAAGGTTTGGAAAATGCACTTAGTAAATATTAAAACACAATTTTAAAAAAATCAGATTTTTGAAAAAGCAGTTAGCAGGTAAGCCCATCTGGTATTTAGTTCTTTATAACACTTCCAAAGGAAATCATTCCAGAAATTCAATGCCACTCCTGGCTTCAGAATGATGGCAAATTAGGGAGAGGAAGCCCTCCCATAAAACAAAGCCCCAGGCTCTGACTTCATCTGTGAAGAACCTACTAAATTCTAGGCTCATTCACTTACCTTATTCTGTATATGGGCACCAAGCCCCAGAGAAGTCCCAACAGATCACTGATTGAGGCTGGATTCCCAAGCACTCCAACATCAGCACCTTTATACCCCCAGTATTCACTTCCTGAAGAGGGAGATGAAGGGAGGATAATCTCTGGGCCTGATCAGTCACACCCAGGACTAGGATTCAGCAAATCTTTGTTAAGCACCTGCTACATGCCGGACACTGCATTTGGGCTAGCACTGTGTTACCCCTCCCCCACTAGCTCAGTGTCATTCATGGAATGGTTAGTCTAGAACTCAGCCTTGGTGAAGGCCTAGGCTGATTCTGTCTTGATCACCCCTTTATCTCCAGTGCCTGGCATAAGTCTTGGCACAAAGCAGGACCTTAGCAAATATTTTTTGAATGAATGATGAATCAGTGAGAGCTTATTGAGTACTGACTATGGGCCAGGCTCTGCAGAAGGAGAAATTCTATTTAATACAAACCTATGAGGCTTGTATTATACCTCCATTTTACAAGTGAGGAAACAAAGGCTAAGAGGTGAACTGACTAGCCCAAGGCTTCACAATGAATTGGTGGTGGAGTTGAGACTGGAGCCCAGACTAGCTACCTCTGGCCTGGGCTCTAGCTACTGCCCCACAGCTGTCAGGGTCCTGGGCCGCCTCCACCCACCTATTCCCTTGCCCCAGGCCTTGCCTGATCTAATTGAGGACTCTGGTGAAGGGCTGGCTTTTGAATGGCCTCAAGGAAACCAGAAATTGCAAGGCTGGTCTCCTAGTTCATACATAGCTCTAGATGAATCTGACTCAAACATAGCTCTGATTTGATCACTTTCCTGTGCAAGAATCTAGGCTAACTCAATGTAAACACCCTGGGTTCAAGTTCTACCTTACTAATTTCTGCCTATGTGATCATGGGGCAAGTTACTTGGGTCTCTCCAGGCCTCATTCACCTTCCTTTTTTGCCTGACTGCACTTCTAAGAACAGCTGTCTGGGACCTCAACTTCTTTAAAAACTGTGGGGCAATCCACCTCACCCTCCACACAGTCTTGTGGCTCAGAGCAACTCCCCGAGTATGGGGAGGAGGTATTTTCATTCTTCTAAGGACCCCAAGGGAAACTGATATCCTTCTCCTGTAGATAATCTAGACAGAGCAGGAAGGTGTTCCTTGACTAGGTGAGCATACTCATTGGCAGATGAGGAAGCCCAAGCTCACCCAGCCAGTCAGTGGCAGCCAGAGTGGACTAGCACCCAGAGTTCCTGACTCCCAGGCAAGGACTTCCTCCACAGCCCCTGCTGCCTCCTCTATTTGTCTTCATGGTTATCGTCTTGCACCTTTCTTTACAACCCATGGAACCCTTCCTGACCCAGAGATTTGATTCCTGCCGCGTGACCTTCAGAAAGTCTCCACTCCTCTAAGGGCACCAGCTTCCTCACCTGTAAAATGGAGGCCCTGACCCTAACAACTTCTCGCCTTCCTCCAGCACAGAGTGCATGATCTTTGACTTGAATGCTCTGTCGTAGAGAGCCGTTTTTTCCCTTGCAGGGCAAATGCCCCCTTGCCCCACAGTCGTTAACGTCCTGGCACCTGCAGTCTGTTGCTAAAGGACGTGTCCTTGCTCGTCCCCTTCGTGCACATCGAGCTGGCAGGGAGCGAAGAGTGTTGGGGGACCAAGAATAAGTAAAAACGCAACTCTCCCACTGCCACAGGCATGCTGCTCGCTTCCCCATTGCAAAAATTTTACTACCAGCTTCGTCCCCCACCCCTCCGATAAACACACAAACACTGCAACTGCAAAAGCCGGCCGGAGGCGGGGGCGGCCTGTGCGCGTGCGTCGGCGCAGAGCCTTCTCCCGCCCACGCGCGCGCCCCCGGCTGGAGGCGCGCGCCACGGCGGGCTGGCGGGAAAGCGCGCGAGAAGCCCCCGACTGGCTCCCGGTGTGGGGGAGGGAGGACAGTAGGCGTTTGGAACGTGCCACTCTCGGAGAGGAAGGGGGCATTTTCGCGTTCCGCTAGCGTTTCTACCCTTCCCTTCTGCAGATCGGAGGCGGGGGCGGCCTGTGCGGGTGCGTCGGCGCAGAGCCTTCTCCCGCCCACGCGCGCGCCCCCGGCTGGAGGCGCGCGCCACGGCGGGCTGGCGGGAAAGCGCGCGAGAAGCCCCCGACTGGCTCCCGGTGTGGGGGAGGGAGGACAGTAGGCGTTTGGAACGTGCCACTCTCGGAGAGGAAGGGGGCATTTTCGCGTTCCGCTAGCGTTTCTACCCTTCCCTTCTGCAGATCAGTCCGTTAGTTCCCCCCTTCCCTCGCGGCGATACGGAGCCCCGCGCCCCGGCCTCGCTCCCTCCTTGCAGCCCGGCCCGGCCCCTCGAACCCAGCTCTGGAGCGAGTGGTTCCCTTAGCCGCCGGAGCGGGGCGCTGCGCCGCGCGGTGGGGCCGGAAATACCCGCAGCCTGAGTGGGTGAAGCCCTAGCGGGGAGCGCGGCGCCGCCTTCCTCCTTGCTCTAGCTACTGCC